TGTGGGCTGCAGTTTTTCTTTTCTCACTGTACTCCTAGCAACGCCTATGATTTGTGGAAAGACGATCTACCTCTCGAACAATAGATCAACGTTATATCTTATTTGCCTTCATTGGTATTAGTAAAATCAGTCCTCTACCGAGTTCCTGCAACTCTTTATTGCAATTTATTCATTCTTTGCTCGTTGGCTTCAGTTTTGGATAGTATCAAATTGGTATCGGAGTGAGAGTTTGTTGGAATAGCAACAAAGAAAGTAGATGTATTGAAAGGAGAAGTATGGCAAATCAGATCGAGAATGGAGCAAAGGTCCGCCGGCATGGAGGATAGGTTTTCTTCCATAGAGAACCGAATAAACGATCAATTCTACAGCATGAAGGAAATGATGAAGAGGCTCCTAAAGGTGTAATCTAAGGCCCCACCGACAGCTCAAGTTGCAAACCATGACCAAGGACTAACCAGAGAATCTTTTATCATATTGAATGGAAAGGAGAGCAACGAGGAAGAAAGTATCTATCACCAAGAGCTCCCCTAGGACACTGAGAGGCACTCACGTAGGGAGCACGACAAAGGAAAGAAAGAAATGGGAGGGGGTATGGCTATTAACTGAATGAGGGAGTTTCAAACTACACATGGGGGAAAATCAGTGGGAGAGGAAGTTGGGGTGGCAAAGCAAGGGCATGAAAACTAAAGATGTCGATCTTCAAAGGGGAAAAGGCACATAAGTGGGTGTAATGGGTGGAGCAATATTTTACAGTGAATGAGTTCATTGGGGAAGAGAAGCTCATAGCAACAATCTAGCATGGTTTTAATGGATGGAGGTGTAGTACCTGATACATTCGTGGGAGGGGTTTAAGGATTTCCTGTTGGAACAATCCTTAGTCATTCAAAAAGGAGACTTACAAAAGCAATTCTATGCTTTGAAAAAAGAGGGGGCGGTCACAGAATACAATGAGAGGTTCGAGCTCTTATCAGGGCGGCTGAGGGGTATTTCTGCAGTGGGACTGGAGGGAAACTTCTTAAAGGGCCTAAAGCCCGACATCTGTGCAGCCCTCTGACCTTTGAGATCACGGAGATTGAGGGAGATGATGGAGCTCGCCCAAATGATGGAAGACAAGAAACAGGTGAAGGCGACCAGCAAAGCTGGCACCACGAGGGGATTCTACAAGAGCACCTCAACGACCATGACATCGAGAACACAAACAATATCATTCCAGGAAAGATGCCAAAGGAAAAGAATACAGTGACCCATTCCGAAGGGAAATTTCAAGCACTTCACCGATACAGAAGTGCAGGATAAGAGAGCAAAAGAATTATGTTTCTGATGTAACAAGAAGTATGTCGTAGGCCACCGTTGCAACGAGTGCGCACTTCAGGTCCTTGTAGTTCATGAGGAGATAGATAGTGAGGAATCGGAGGAAGACGCGGTTGAGGAGCATTTGCACTTAGAGGTTGCGAAGGTCCCTCAATTCAGTGGTGATATTTACTCCAAATCGCACTGATATCCTCAGATTCAGAATGATGAGATAGAAAGTTGATCTGAGAGATGCTCGAAGCGAGAAATAAAAGACCCAATGTGAGCACATTTTCTAGTCTAGTCCTATTGGTTAAGAAAAAAGATCACATTTGAAAATTTTGTGTGGACTATCGGGCTTTGAACAAAGGGATTGTATTGGATAAGTTTCTTATCCATGTGATTGATGAGCTACTATATGAACTTTATGAGGCAATCATGTTCTCCAAAATCGATCTTAAGTAGGAATACCACCAGAACAAGATGAAGCCAGCTGATGTGCACAGGACAGCGTTCCTGACGCATGAAGGGTATTATGAATTCTTGGCAAAGTTGTTTGGCCTCACCAACACTCCAACCATATTTCAGTCTTTCATTAATCAGACTTTTCAGCTTAACCTAAAGAAATTTGTCCTGGTCTTCTTCGGTGACATCCTGATCGACAATCGTGCAGAGGTTGAGCATGTGGGGCACATGAGGACTGTCTTGGAAAAGTTGACGGAGAGCACCAGTTGTATGCCAAGTTGAAGAACTATTTATTTGCACAGCTAAAAGTGAAATACCTCGGGCATGTGGCGACCAGAGAAGTAGCAGCATACTGGTCCATGATCAAGGCTATAGTGGACTGCTCTTTACCCGGAAGTTTGAAAAAGTTGAAGAGATTCTAAGATCTCACTGGATACTACCGGAAGTTTGTAAAGGGGTACGACACGATAACATAGCCACTGACGAAGCAGTTGAAGAAAGAAAATTTCAAGAGGAGAAGCAACAACATGGGCCTTCAAACATTTGAAGAGTCGTGACCAGCATTCCAGTATTAGCACTCCCAGATTTCAGTAGACCATTTGAGGTTGAGACAGATGCATCGAGGTATGGATTGAAAGCAACACTCATGCAAGACCAGCGGTCAGTAGCCTACTTCAGCCAAAAGCTCACAGCTAGGGCAAGGCTCTAGTCAGTGTAAGAGAGGGAATAGATAGGTACTGTCTTGGCCATTTAGAACTGGTGGCCTTACCTGTTGGGGCAACATTTTCTAGTCAGGACGTATGAGAGGAGCTGAAAGTATCTTTTGGAATAGAGGATGGTGGCTGACTGAGGAGCATCAGAGGTGAATATTAAAGATTAGGATATGATTTTGAGATTCGGTAATGATCGGTGTTGGAGAATAAAGCCGCAGATGCAATGTTGAAAAAGATGAAGATGCTCTAGCTAACAGCCTTATCGATACCCTTGGTCCTAGATTGAGAAACCCTGAGACATGAAAGCGGGATGAAGAGCCGAGGAAAATACGGGGGCAAAAGTTGCTATGAGATCTGAACAGTCATCCAGGATATGTATTGAGAGGGCAACAGCTACTCTAACAGGGGACGGTTCGTGTTGTTAAGGGCATCGGAGTACATCCCCAAACTATTACAAAAGTTTCACAGTAGTGTCATTGGGGGACACTAAGTGGTACAGAAGACAAAGTCGTCTATCGACAAAACTTTATTACAGGAGGGTTACTACAGCCCTTAGCTTTATCAGAGAAGGTTTGAGAAGAAGTGAAGATGGATTTTATAAAGGGGTTAGCACGATCAGAAGTGTTTATGGTGATCTTAGTGATAGTGGATCTCCTGAGAGAGTATGCACATTTCATTCCATTACAATAGCCCCTATAACAAGTTCTCAGATGCTACGGTGTTCATACAAAAAGTAATTTTTTGCATAGTGTGTCGGAATCTATTGTATCAAACAAAGAGAAGGTGTTCCTCAACCAATTATGGAAAGAGTTGTTTAGGTTATGAGGAACAGTTCTTAAGAGAAGCATAACATATCATTCTCGGACAAGACAGAGGTGATCAACAGAAGCGTGGAGACATACCTGTGTTATTTTGTATTGGATGTGCCAAAGCTTTGGGCCAAGTAGATTATGTGGGCCGAATACCAGTATAATACTTCGTACCATACTGCAAACTACCACTTTCAAGATTTTGTATGGGCGGGATCCACCTCACATGATACATTGTGGGCAAAGTAATGCCAATATCCAGTATCGACAAGTACTTGAAAGAGGGACAGGATATTGGCGTAGCTCAAGGGGCATCTAGTAAGAGCTCAACAGATCATGAAGAGGAAAACAAATAGGCATAGAAGAGGTGCAATTCCTACCTGAGGACATGATTTACTTAAAGCTGGGGCTCTATTGGTAGAAGACATTGGCCAGGACGAGCAAGAAACTTTCAACACGATATTTTGGACCATACGAGGTGATGACACATATCAAGGAAGTGGCCTGTCATTTGAGATTACCACCATCATCAACACTACATTAAGTCTTTCATGTTTCACAATTGAAACGTGCTATCAGAGACATACACCTCGCCTTCACTACCTCCATCACTTAAAGAGTACCTGGAGATGATTCTAAAACCATTGGAGGTCGAAAAGTGCATCGAGATGCGGCGAAAACAAAGAAGGTATTGGTTAAGTGGAAAAATCTGGCAGATTGTGAAGTAACATGGGAGCCTTCTGAAGTGATACAAAAGTAGTTTTAATTACTCCACCTTGGGGACAAAGTGCTTCTTAGAAAGGGGAGTATTGTTATGACGGTTAAGAAACCGGTCCAAGCAAGTCGCCTGGGTCTAGACCGGTCCACCACAACCTTCCAATGGCCAGCTGGTTCAACAAGAGAGGGCGCAAAATCCTGGTGCGCCCGCGAGGATTCCAACCCCCAGGTGGAGCCCAATAAGGCTCTAACCACGTGCGCAAGAAGGAGAAATTATGGGAGTTTTGGGAGGAAAGTTTAAAGAGCTTTGGGAGGGTTATATTAGGGTTAATAACCTAGGGATTAAAGCATGTTTTGTTTGAGCTGCAATTTTTCTTTTCTCGTGTTGTTCCTAGCGGCGCCTAGGGTTTGTAGATAAACAGTCTACCTTTTGAACAGTAGATCAACGTTGAATATTATTATTATTATTATCTTTTGTTATTAATAAAATCAGCCCTCGTTTGAGTTCTCCTCCATCTCCATTGCAATTTATTTGTCGTTTGGTCATTGTTTTCGGACTAGTTCATATCAAAATTAATCAAGCCATTGAATTTACAAAACTTAATCAATCTTGTGCGATAAAGCTAATGTTGATATAATTATGCTGACACTACTTCATGTATAGATTGTTTGATATAAGACAATTCCACAGAATGGCAATGCCATCTTTTTTGTGCACACTTAATCGCCTTGTATGGACCATCATTGTAGCGTAGTTGTTTTTATCTCTAATACTTCGAGGGTGGTTATTTATATTCAAAAAGCTTGATAATTGTTCTACTTGCACTCCTTCAAATTTGAATCTATTACCAAGTATCACGTTAGATTTCCTTCAGAATGTTTGGAGGTAGCACCTGTTAAGTCTAATTCATTGCTTTTTTTTTTCCTTCACAAGAACTCAAGAACAAAGAAAATCAATATAATGATACTTAAATTCGTTTGAAAATTTTAAAAAATATGATCTTACCAGAGACAACAGCGGTGTGCTTCCACCCACATGATACCTACATAATCATCATTTATCAGGAAGAAGAAAAAAACAAAATGCAAATATTGGAGCATGATAGCATCATATATGACAGCTTTTAGAAGTGAAACAACCTCAGATACTGGTGCTTTCAGAAAAGAACTTTCAACAATCTGTGGCAAACGTATCACATCAGTGCAACTGACATTGAAACGGGTCATTTCACAATCAGTTTGAATGAACATTATTTAAAAAATAAACAATGAAAAGCATCATAAAGCACTACGGCGTACCCAAGACCAAGGCAACCGTTTTCATTTGAACCCCACGCATACAGTTTTCCATCGTCTGAACAAACACAGAAGATTAGTAATAGCTAACTCCTGTACTGACTCATAAAACTCAGCATTTAAAAGAACGTGAAACACAGCAAATAAAAAGAAGAAATATGTTATAATCCTGAATTCCCATCTATCAAGAAATTATATCTTTTGGCTAACAAGCCCTTTGGTCTACTTTCTTAGAAGGTCATACAGGCTAAGAATGCTCTAAAATTAGCACGTTTAGAACATTACACCAAAATACACCTTCATGTATAAGTCTTTCGTTTCACTATAGTTAAAACATCAAGAAAAATGTCAAAATAGTCCCATGTTTCTTTATGGGGTCATTTTAGTCCCCGAGTTTATAAAGTGTAAATTTGGTCCTCAGACTCCATTAATATGGGCTAAAATGATCACCACGAAGGACTAATTCAGACTCAATAAAAAAAAAGCATGGGGACTATATTCACACTTTTATAGACTTTGGGATTAAAATGGCCCCATGTAAACAGTAAGTGGATTATTTTGGCACTTTACTCTTGAAATATCTCACAATGTCCTCCATTTAAGTGATTGACTTCCTTATCATAGACAATACACAACACAAAATCAGCCACCACGCAATAGATTCTAGAGGTCCTTCCCATCATGTTGCAATTGTCCAAAATGGGTTCAAGGAATAATTCCCGTTGTATAACAGTTTATTGTAATAGCCAAAACACTTATCTATCAAGATATTAGTCTCTTTGTCCTAACAAACATTTTATTTTGATTAAATAGTTTACAAAGAATCTTAACCTATTTTTTCTCTCACAACTATTCTTTCAAACAGCATAAATAACAATACCCTGAACCTTTTAATGTATGCATAATGTAAGAGGCGGTTCAATTTTCCTTATTTGCCATTGTCATGCATCACCGTCTGGCATATTTTACATGCCAATGAAGGGAAGGCCCTACTTCTATACTTGCAATTGCATTTAAATAAAAGCTCACTTGCATACATAGCAAATAATTCTTATGTATTGACATATCTCACGCCTAAACTTTGAGCTTTACACACATAGCACTCAAATCTTTAATACCAGGTCAAAAATAACACTATTATCACTTTTTAAAAGTAACATACACTTTTTCATGCATGGGTTTAAAGCACTAAGTGCTATGTACATATGAAAGATTAGGTGTGAGATATATAAATACATAACAACTGTGTACTGCATATGTAAATTTCCCTTGAATAAAAATGACTACAAAAATTATTAAAGTACGGCAACCACCACATCTACCTTTCATTGATGAGGTAAACAAAATGACAAAACTCAATATAGTTTAAGTTCTTTTTTCCTTAATTTTTTTAAACAAAATGCCACTTCGATCTTGCTGCCTTCATACCGATTAAAGATGAGCTAACTAAACAAAGCATATACAGCTACTATGTTTGATTGACAACATGACCGCCATCTCTAGCAACCTTTAGTAGTCAATCTTTACACTCGAGCTTCAAGCATATTATGACATGAAAATAAGAAAATATATCATATAAAGCCTAGCAAACAATCTATTTCCGAGCGTTGCTTTGACGTATTCTAAAAATAATCTTTTAGTAACTCTTGAATGCTAGACAACCAATTGAAACCAAAGAAATAAATAAATAACAAAATCATCGAATTTCACTACATGTGAATTCAGTAACAGCACTGCACCAACTAAACAATCTCCGAATTTGGTATGCTTATAGACGAGAGGAATCCAGAGAGCCCGAGATCACTCAATTATCCATCATAATGTGCATCACAATAACCGAAATTGTAAGATTATGACCAATGCCTAAAGAAAGGGGTTCGATAACTTAATTACAGACACCATAACTATAACTTAATTGAAAAATCAAAATGGAAATTGACAAAAGGGAAGTTTCCACCTCCAACAACGGTTGTAAGGCTTTGGGCTCCACCCACATCATCTTTGTCAAAAGAATAAACTTGTAATGCTTTTTTGAAGAAACAAATTTATAAAACAGGTTCTTGCTTCGTTGGCTGATGTGTAAAATAAAAAGTAATTTTATTTTCACGAAGACACTTGCATGCTACAGCTACTAGGTAATTAAAAACTCAGACATTGTTAAGAACAGTACTTGTCACAATACAAGTATGATAACCCCCACAGGCAACTTCCTCTGAGAGTGGAAGTTTCTCAACAGCAGATGGTTCAGAAACCTTCTTTCCTTCACTAAAACCCTGCATCATAAAGGACAAGCATATAAATGATTATTATAAAAATAGTTAAAAAAACACAAGAAGTACAACCATAAAAAGCTAAAAGGAAATACCAGTACACCAACAGCCTTTTCACCAAATACAAAAACAGAACCACGTTCTTGAATGTGAATCATACAAAAACTAGTAAGAAAAGTTTAGAACACATAATAATAATTGGAAGAATAGCATCCAGATAGATTTACCATCAATGCAGGCTGAGTGCAGCATTCCTG